ATTTTGAACTCAGGGATAATAGTTTTTGAGGCCCAGGTAGAAAGATTGCTTCTGGAACCCATTAAAAGAGACTTTACTCAGCTTTTGTGTATTTCTTAATTTTCCTGTAAAAATGTCATTGAGTCCCCTGGCCTCCCTCCTCAACTTCATAGGAAGAAAGAGACTGTTTCACTTGTAGGTGAAATGAGCTTTGGGTGGAGTGATGCAGGAGGGGCTAACCAATCCCTCCTGCCTCCCCAAATCCTCCACCAAGAAGCTGCTATTAAAACTGATTCTTGGGTTAAGATTCAGCCTTTTGGAAGCCATCCACTCTCAGCTGTCAGCTTTTGGGTGTGAAGTTAGTGAGATGAATATTTGTGAAGCTGTTATAGCTTTGATTGGATAGATTTTGCCCACCTTCCTCTAATAAGATAAAGCATCAGCCAAGGACTGTCACATCTAGTAGGACTGGTAGGAAGAAGGAAACTCTCCTGGTGAGGGGCTGACTGGAGAATTTTGTAAATAGTTGGTAATGAGAGGTCTCTGGTAAAGGGGCCCAGGGATGGCAGATCTGTTTGGGTAGTGCTCAGTATGCCAAAGGGCTCCTGCAGGTCTCAGAAACCAGGGGAATCGGAAGAACCAGCAAGAGTGGTTGGGAAAAAAGGACCTGGCTCTGAAAACCACCTGCTGAGAGCAGGAGGGGTTTGGGTGAACCTTAATCCAGAGTTCTGAGCAAGCAAGGATAGTTCTTAGAGGACAGACAGGGCCATGGAGGCAGCACAGAAGGAAGACAGTTTTGAATGGGGGTAAGATGATACTGGAGAGTGTGGTTTGTTTTCTTTGAAGTTTGTCCTAGTATTTTGTATCATTAGCAATGAATGATTCCTGCTCTTCATTGCTATTCTGGGCCATAAATCTCACAGGGAGCAGTGCGTGGTTACAAAGGTGTGACCATTGGCTGCCTGACGAGAGATTTTGGACAAGGATCTTTCTGTGCGTCCCTAAGTCAAGTAAGAAATGAATCCCTGAAATTTAAAAAAGAAAGAGTCAAAAGAGTTTCCCTTTTGTTCTCGGGAGAGCATCATCTTACATGTCAAAAGTAGACAACTCATCAAAGACCACACTTGCCTTCTGGAAGCCCTTCTTCAGATCTCTTTACCACCTTTCAGCACCATGGAATCTCAAGTTCAGGAGGGTCCAGAAAGACAACTAGGTTAGCTCTTGAATGATGTCCAATTGCACACACAAAGCACTCAGTCCAGCTGCGCATCTCATTGTCTGATTTGTCCTTTGCAGAATTTCATGACTTTAACAACATTGCCCTGGGCTATGGGACACACTACTGAACTGTACATTTAAGAATGGCTAGGATGGTTGGTTTTATGTTGTGCATGTTTACCACAATACAATTTTTTTAAGAAAATTAGGAGATTCAATATATGTAATAGGAACTTTAACAGGCAAGAATTGAGCCTATGGACAAAGCTAAAGTATTAGAAAGAAAAAAACCTACTCTGAGATGTAGAAAGACTTCAGTCTTCCTATCAAGGGTACCTCTTGAGTACCTGGAAAGCAAATAGAAAGGAATTTATATCAGAACATATCCTAGAGAATGCTTTAAATTTTAAGGATGAAGAACCAATACCACAAAAGCCAGGGAAGAGAAATGTTCACCTCTAAAAGAAAGAAAGAGGAAAAAAACAATTAATAAAGTATTAGTACTTTCTTTTATAGCCTAAGTGCCTGAAGATGGGTGGCAATGCCTAGTAGATTTTGGTTGAAAGTATCATGGCTAAGAACTCCATAAGCAGGGAAATTATTGTGCGTGCTCCCGTGTAGACGAAGGGACCTGTGGGGGATTTTCCTCTCCATCTCAGGGTTTATTACACCAAAGCCCAACGCCATTGTTTCTCTTTCAG